CTGGGTCTTCCCAGTTCACCAGCCCTGAGCACTTGTCTCATGCATCCAACCTGGACTGGCGATCTGTTTCACACTTGATAATATACATGTTTCGATGCTGTTCTCTCAGTCATCCCACCCTCACCTTCTCCCATAGAGTCCAAAAGTCTGTTCTATACATCTGTGTCTTTTTTTCTGTCTTGCATATAGGGTTATTGTTACCATCTTTCTAAATTCCATATATATATGCGTTAGTATACTGTATTGGTGTTTTTCTTTCTGGCTTACTTCACTCTGTATAATGGGCTCCACTTTTATCCACCTCATTAGAACTGATTCAAGTGAATTCTTTTTAATGGCTGAGTAATATTCCATGGTGTATATGTACCATAGCTTCCTCATCCATTCATCTGCTGATGGGCATCTAGGTTGCTTCCATGTCCTGGCTATTATAAACAGTGCTGCGATGAACATTGGGGTGCACGTGTCTCTTTCAGATCTGGTTTCCTCAGTGTGTATGCCCAGAAGTGGGATTGCTGGGTCATATGGCAGTTCTATTTCCAGTTTTTTAAGGAGTCTCCACACTGTTCTCCATAATGGCTGTACTAGTTTGCATTCCCACCAACAGTGTAAGAAGGTTCCCTTTTCTCCACACCCTCTCCAGCATTTATTGCTTGTAGACTTTTGGATAGCAGCCATCCTGACTGGCGTGTAATGGTACCTCATTGAGGTTTTGATTTGCATTTCTCTGATAATGAGTGATGTTGAGCATCTTTTCATGTGTTTGTTAGCCATCTGTATGTCTTCTTTGGAGAAATGTCTATTTAGTTCTTTGGCCCATTTTTTGATTGGGTCATTTATTTTTCTGGAATTGAGCTGCAGGAGTTGCTTGTATAGTTTTGAGATTAAGCCTTTGTCTGTTGCTTCATTTGCTATTATTTTCTCCCATTCTGAAGGCTGTCTTTTCACCTTGCTTATAGTTTGCTTTGTTGTGCAAAAGCTTTTACACCTTATCTTCGACAAAGGAGGCAAGAATATACAATGGAAAAAAGACAACCTCTTTAACAAGTGGTGCTGGGAAAACTGGTCAACCACTTGTAAAAGAATGAAACTAGAACACTTCCTAACACCATACACAAAAATAAACTCCAAATGGATTAAAGATCTAAATGTAAGACCAGAAACTATAAAACTCCTAGAGGAGAACATAGGCAAAACATTCTGCGACATAAATCACAGCAAGATCCTCTATGACCCACCTCCCAGAATATTGAAAATAAAAGCAAAAATAAACAATTGGGACCTAATGAAACTTAAAAGCTTTTGCACAACAAAGGAAACTATAAGCAAGGTGTCCATCATTCTTTATCCTCCACTTCTGCTGTATGGGTTTTCAAAGAGCTGGCCTCCTGGCCTGACACCTTGATGCTTGCAAATCCCGCATAATGGTCTGAAGTAGGGAGGTTCTACAGACAGTCCGGCTGCCCCTTCCTGCACTGGGGTGCACACTCAAACTCACCTCTGTTATCTGCAAGAGGTACCTTGGGAGCTGTCTTGGCTTCTTGAACAAAGGAGAGTTAAATACAGAACGTGTCCGGCTTTTGAAAGGCCATTTGTCCCCTGACTTCAGGGGCGAGGAGAGGACTGTCTGTGGGGTCAAGCCCCAGCCTCTCCACAGACAGAAATGGTGAGGCTTGAGCCCATTGCCCTCGGACAGGAAGCAGACCCGTGGGGAGTTTGTGCGTTCATGGAAACACTGCAGGTGGTAGACATGCTGAGAGGAGCTGGGGCTATGGGAATTTGGAATGACTTTCTTTTTGTTTAAAAAAATGGGGCAAATTATGCTGATTTTTCCAAGGTCAGCCCAATTACAGGGGCTAGTTACCTGTAGCTGGGAAGGCTAAAACAGGAGTAAATGGGAAGAGTGATGGAGGTCTTTTTTTTGTATTTATCACTTTTATTTATTTTTAATTGGAGGATAATTGTGTTGCAATGTTGTGTTGGTTTCTGCTGCAGAATAGCATGAACTAGCCGTACGTGTACGTATATCCCCTCCTCCTCGGACCTGCCTCCCTCCTAGATCGCCTCAGAGCACTGAGCTGAGCCCCCTGTGATCTACAGCTGCTATCTGGTTTAGGCATGGTACTGTATGTATGTCAGGGAGGTCTTTGTTTTCACGAAACCGGTCAATCCTAAGGGAATTCAACCCTGGAATATTCATTAGAAGGACTAATACTGATTGGGCACCTGATGTCACGAGCCAACTCATTGGAAAAGACTGTGATGCTGGGAAAGATGGAGGGAAAGAAGAGAAGGGGGTGACAGAGGGTGAGATGGTTGGATGGCATCACTGACTCAATGGACATGAGTTTGAGCAAACTCTGGGAGACAGTGAAGGTCAAGGAAGCCCGGAGTGCTGCAGTCCATGTGGTCACAGAGAGTTGGACACGACTTACCGACTGAACAACAACAAACCTCTTTAATCCTTCGTCGAGCTTTATCAGATGCTTGCAAATCCCACATAATGGTTCGCCCAGGTTCATCCTCACCGGTTTGCTTGCATCATTTGCCGCAGGTCTGCATTGTCTTGGCTCAGGTGTTCTTGGGACCCAGGACGTTGCTGTAGCTTTTTTTTTACTTACTTATTTTTAATTGAAGGGAAACTGGTTTACAATAATCTGTTAGTTTCTGCCATACATTAACGTGAATTAGCCATAGGTATACATGTGTCCCCTCCCATCTCCCACCGCTGCCCACCCCTCTAGGCTGTGATGGAGCCCCAGTTTGAGCTCCCTGAGTCACACGGCAGATTCCCACTGGCTGTTTATTTTACATATGGGAGCGTATATGTTTCCATGCTGCTCCATCCGTTCACCCCACCCTCTCCTTCCCCTGCCCCTGTCCAGTCGTCTGTTCTCCAAGTCTGCATCTCCTTTTGTCATTCAGTCCCTCATTGTGTCCGACCCTCTGTGACCCCATGGACTGCAACCCACCCGGCTCCTGCCCCTGGGATTCTCCAGGCAAGAATACTGGTGTGGGTTGCCATTTCCTCCTCCAGGCATCTTCCCGACCCAGGGATTGAACCCGAGTCTCCTGCATTGGCAGGCAGTTCTCTCCCACTGAGCCACCTTTCTGGATATGTGGAGATTAAATAGGAAGGTCACAAAGGATGCCGAGGGACTGGCCAGTTTCTGTTCTTAGAGGGTCTGCTCCTGGGCAGCTGGTCCTTTTGGTGCAGTTTCTTATCTAATCCTTGTGACCATCCTGGAAGGAGGAGGGCCTTGTCTCAGAGACGGAAGCCGCAGCTTGGGGAGGGTGAGTGACCTTGCGAGTCCCAGAGCTGGCAAGTGGTGGGACCTTGCAGGGCTCTGTGCTGTGAGGTCCCAGAGGAGGAGTGGCAGGAGGGGACAGGAAGACCCTGTGGAGACAGACCAGCTGCTTGAGGAGGTCAGAGAGGGAGCGCATTCCTCTTGTTGGGTGGTACCAGAGAAAGCGCAGGACACCCAGGTAAACTGGAAATTCAGAGAAACAGCAAGTGACTTTTTAAAGTATTAAGTGTGTCCCAAGCAATATCAGGGGCATATTTATACTAAAGTACTGAAAAATTGGGGCGTCCTGGTGGCTCAGACAGTAAAGAATCTGCCTGCATGCAGGAGACCTGGGTTCAATTCCTGGGTTGGGAAGATCCCCTGGAGAAGGGAAGGGCTAACCACTCCAGTATTCTTGCCTGGAGAATCTCATGGACAGAGGGTTTAATTTAACTGAAAAATCAGTGCTTAATCTGAAATTGAAACTTCATGGAGCATCCTGTGTGTTCATCTGTTTAATCTGGCAGCTCTGCTAGGTTGTTGTTCAGTCATTTCGTTGTGTCTGACTCTTTGTGACCCTGTGGACTGCATCAGCCAGGCTTTCCTGTCCTTCACTATCTCTGGGAATTTGCTCAAACTCATGTCCATTGATTTGATGATACCTTCCAACCATCTCATTCTCTTTTGCTCCCTTATCCTCCTGCCCTCAATCTTTCCTAGCATCAGGATCTTTCCTAATGAGTCAGCTCTTCACATCAGGTTTGGAGCCAAAGTTTTGGAGCTTTAGCCTTAGCATCAGCCCTTCCAATGAATATTCAGGGTCGATTTCCTTTAGGATTGACTGGTTTGATCTAGTTTGATCTCCTTGGTGTCCAAGGGACTCTCAAGAGTCTTCCCCAGCACCACAGTTTGAAAGCATCAATTCTTCGGCACTCAGCCTTCTTTATGGTCCAACTGTCACATCCATACATGACTACTGGAAAAAACATACCTTTGACTATTCGGCCCTCTGTAGGCAAAGTGACATTTCTGCTTTTTATGTGCTGTCTAGGTTTGTCATAAGTTTTTTTCCCAAGGAGTAAGTGTTTTTTAATTTCATGGCTGCAGTCACCATCCGCTGTGGTTTTGGAGCCTAAGAAAATTAAGTCTGTCACTGTTTCCATTTTTTCCCCATCTGTTTCTACCAGGGGACTCCAGGAAAACAATGCACCTGCTTTGTGGGAACTTGAGGGTGAAGGTACGGATGCAGGCCGGGTGGCAGGGGGATCTCCCCTCATAAGCTGGAGAGCCCCTTGGGGGTGGGAATTCAGAGTCGCAGTGAGGTCTAGGAGGCGGGGATCTGTCGTGGAGACAGGTGGAAAGCTGACACCCGGGCCGTGGTGAGCTCGGTCCACCCGTGCACACAGGCTGTCCGAAGTCGTCTGCCATCAGCAGATGGTCTGTGTGGAATAGACCATCTCCCTGCTGCCCGGGAGTGATGAATGGGCCTGTCAGCTGATGGAAACTAACCCAGCCTAGTGTGGTCTTTCTATGTGGCTGGGTCTGGCTTCAAGAAGTCCTGTATTAAAGGTGACATGTGAATAAAGAGACTTTTTTGTCTCTCTTGCGAAGAATTGAGTGCAACTTCCAGTTCTGTGTCCCCTGCAGCAGCATGTAGCTCATGTGACCCACTGAGGACCCAAGTGTCCCACATCGCTCCCAGGTGGTGATAACATGAGAAATGCCCACCCCCAAGGCTCCTCCCAGGCCTTGGAAGGCAAGTGCACGGAGCTGGACACTCCAGAGTTCATTTCTAGGGTTCCAGAGGTTCTCCACATCTCTATAGGTCTCAGGTGGCACTAGTGATAAAGACTCCACCTGCCAATGCAGGAGGTGAAAGTTTAACCCTGGGTGGAGAAGATCCCCTGGAGAAGGGATTGGCAACCCCCTCCAGTTTTCTTGCCTGGGAAATCCCATGGACAGAGGAGCCCGGCGGTCTATAGTGCATGGGGTCACAGAGAGTCGCACATGACTGAGCATGCATGCACCACACTTCATTTCCATAGGTGTGGCTGAAGCTTGTCAACAGGGGATTGTAAACAGAGCCTGCTGGAATTTCCTCAGGATGGTGTCTGCCCTCTGAGAATTAGCCACAGCAAAAGTCCAGGCCAAAGTGAGCCCCCTCATGCCCTGGCTTCCAGGCATTGGCAGGTACCTGGGCCAGAAAGAGTCAGCAGGCTCAACTGCAGCAGTGAAGTCTTTATTATGAACTTTATATTGCACGCATGCAAAATCATATCTGACTCTACAATGCCGTGGACTATAGCCCACCAGGCTCCTCTGTTCATGGGATTTCCCAGGCAGGAATACTGGAGTGGGTTGCCATGTCCTTCTCCAGGGGATCTTCCTGACCCAGGGATCAAACCTGCATCTCTTGCGTCTCCTGCATTGGCAGGCGGATCTTTTACTGCTAGCACCACCTGGGAAGCCCATCAACTTTATAAATTGTTATTAATTAAAAATATAATGTTACCAAGTTCAAATACCCATGGTATCAATAGAAGAAAATTTTTAAACATTTGTATCGAGGCTATTAACTGAAATTGCCTGTTCTTTTTATTATCTTTGGCATAATTGATTTGTGTATGAGCAGCAGGGTCATTTGGCTTGTGTTTTCCAGGAAGAATCGCTGAATGGCTGACATTTGACAACATGCACCACCAGTGGCTTCTGTTGGCCGCGTGCTTTTGGGTGCTTTTCATGTTCATGGTGGCCAGCAAGTTCATCACACTGACCTTCAAAGACCCGGACGGTAGGTATTCCGCCTCGTGGAATGGATTTGGCGAATTCAGACCTTGCAGTGATACTGCTCCTGGGTACCTGCCTGGATGAGTAGTGACACAGAATCAAAGGACTCTCATGCCAGAAGGATGTTGTTGTGTCCAAGTGATGTGCCGAGGCTCGAGAGGGGAGGTGGACAGGGATGAAGGGGTCCTCGCCTATGCCTCCCCTAGGGGCGGGGGAACACACTTTCCTTAGGGGCTTCTTCCGTGTCCTGCTCTCAGGCTCCGGGTTTGGGGGCCAGCCCTGCTCAGTGTCCTGGTGAGATGCTGCCTGCTGGGGGCAGCGTGTTTGAAGGTCACCTTCAGGGCTCCAGAAGGAAGTTGGTGTAAATAGATCTGTGCTAGCATTTTTAACTCCTGTTGACTCGATGTCAGACAAGGACATGTTAAGAGCACCCAACCCAGTCTTTGAAGATCTGTGTCTGGTTCACGTCCTTGCCCATTGCTTGGGCCTTAAACTGTTTTTTTTCTGTGAAGTGAGCGTCCTCCCTGCTCTGACAGCTCCAAGCCTGACCCCAGCACAGTGAGGCCGTGAGAGTGACCTGTGAGGAGGTGCTGGGCATGACTGAGGAGCTGCGGGGTCGGTCATTTGAACCCCAAGGCAACGATTTCCTGCACGATGGTGGGAGGCCAGGTGCCTGGGAAGGGCTCCTGAGCAGCCATGGACCGGCCTGGGGACAGCAGCCTGGCAGGGAGGAATTGCAGGCTGTGTTCATTCCACGCAGGGTCTGACGTGGCCACCTGCAGGTGTGGCCCTTAGGGAAGGGGAGTAGAAAAGGATCCAGGGGTGGTTTTCCTGATTCCCACCAGCGGGCTCTGGGCCCTGCTCGCCCTAGAGAGCCCCCCGGGCTGCCCCTGACTGTGCAGAGGCTGCCAACGCCCCACCCTGCCTCCATCCTCCCTGTAGAGGCGCAAGGTGGGAAGGCCGGCAAGAGAAGGAGGCGCTGAAATTAGCCCCAGTGTGGTTCTCAGCCTGGCAGTTTCTGTCCTGGGTTGGCGTTTATTTCACCCGAGTTCAGTGTTTTTGCTGTTGATCCAGGAGCGCACTGTGAGCTGGCATCAGGGCGTCACCGAGGTGCAGGGGTGTCCCGATCCCTGGCCCCGGTGTTCAGGGGGCTGGGGTGCTCCATGTCCACGGGCGGCTCCTTCCAGCTCTGTCCCCGGGGAGGTGAGCTTTGTCCCAGCTTCCCGGTCAGCGGGTGAGGGGGCTTGCTTCTGGCTTCCCTGTTCTGTTTTTAATTGTGTGTTTTGTCTGGGTCATCCTTGCATTGCAGGTTTCTCTCTCATTGCCAGCAGGGGCTGCCGTTCACTGGGGTGGTTTTCCTTGTCGCTCTGGGGCACGCGGGCTTCACACGTTGTCACACCAGGGCTTCGTTGCTCCATGGCATGTGGGGTCTTCCTGGACGGGGGTCAAACCCGTGTCTCCTACACTGGCAGGCAGATTTTTATCCACTGCGCCCCCAGGGAAGTCCTGTACCTTCCTATTCTTAATGATTTCCCAGCCACGCAGTGGATAGGGAGAGCACGTTTGTCTTCAGTTGTGGTTTAAAGCCAGTGGGGGGGGGGGGGTGCGCGCGCGCGCTTCTCTCTCTGGCTCAGCAGTGAAGCCACAGTGATGTTTGTGGCAGTGACTCAGTGTGGTTAACAGACTTCAGTGCTGTTTTGAACTGGCCTTTGTCCTAGGGAAATAAATCCCATTCAGTGGTGGAAAATTGACAGCATGGTATGTGGACACTTGAACTCAGAAGCGACATCCTTGTGAATCTGGTGGGTAGGTGTAGATGCTGATTTTCTTGCTTCTGTTTGACCACTTCTTCCAATCTTCTGCCTCAGCTCAGCTGCCAGCCGCTTAAGAGCAGAACCCATGATGTGACACCTGCATGCCCTCTATCCGGCGTGTGATGCAGTGGGTACCCTGGGCAGCTGGACACACACAGAGGTCGGGATGAGGGGATGTGGTCACATCTAGAAAAACAAGGCAGTACTGTACCTGGCAAACGTCGGGACATTTTGTAAAGCAAATATGATGATGCCTCTAAGGAAAGTGAGCTCATATGTTCTGATGCCTGGTCATACCTGTTGACCACCCTTGGGCCTGGCGCTGGTGCCTGGCCCCTGAGGGTTGGGCAGGGGTGTGATCTTTGGCCACAGTGGTGACAGCGGGCATCCAGTGAAAATAAACAGTTGTGGGCAGAGCAACTGAAAAGCAAAACCAGACATTAAGTTGTGCTGTCGGTTTTATTAGAATCTAGTAGAATTGGGCTTGAGGAAAGTTGGGGAGCAAATACCAGGAGCTCACAGTAAAAGAAGTTGTTAAGAATTGGTGGATGGCTGGCCGGTGTGTGTGGCTGGCATGTGAGCTGTCCCGTAGCTACCAGGGTCATTCTCGATGCTCTTGAGTGTGTGAAATAGACACTTTTCAGAAATACACTAGTGAGTCAGTTGTTTAGAATTCAGACTACATCTTACATCTAGAATGTCACTGAGGAAGCTTAGGTTTCTAGGAACCCACGTGGCCCGTGGCAGAGCTGAGCATTGCCGTGCGGCTCACAGACGTGGGCACGTGAGGTGACCGGACCTGAGTGGGAGGGGACGTTCCCCTGAGCACGCGGGTGCTTGGAGACGAGGCTGGGGAGGACGGGGAGGGCAGGCGCTGGCCTCCTGGCCCTCACGGTGCGTTTCAGAGCCTGGTGGCCCAGGGCACTGCCTCTGTCTTCATACTGTCCCTGGCCTCAGAGCAGGTGCAAAGTGGCTTCTGTGCACAGCTCTGGTTAGGGCTGCATTTCAGCTCAAATGCAGGAGAAAGGAAGAAACAATTTCCTCGGGATACACAGAGGTGTGTGGCCAAGATTTCTGCTGGAGATTTCTACTGAAGCTGGAGAGCTCAGAGGTGTGAGGGTTGGGAGATGGATTATTATCACTGGTGGGGTTCCAGGAGGATGGGTTTCTCCCTCCTGGGCAGGGAGGATGTCAGGCTGGTGCCTGTTCTCAGTGGTGCTGGCTGGGGAGTGGGAGGTGGGGAGTTGGGGGTGAAGCGGAGAGTTGGGGGTGCAGTTTAACAGCCAGACTGAAGTAGGGGCTGCAGTGAAGCCTGCAGAGTGTTGGTGGTAATGATCCAAGAGGAGTAGGTTTTGATGTTTATAACAAAAGTGAAATGTGCCTTTGCTTATGCTTTATTAGGCTTATTTCTATGCCTTTATTTGATAACTACTTTTTTCATTCTAATTCTGTATTCAGGCTTTGCAAAATTTTGAAAGCAAATGTTTCTTTGATTGTAGAGATTTGAAAATTTTCTTCAAATTCTACCCACAGATTTCCCCCAAATCAGTTTGTTGCAAATGATTACTGTGCTCTAGCATTTTGTAAGATTTCCTTTAGTTGAATATCAATTCCCATGTTGTGTAGTTGATCAGTCGTGTCCGACTCTTTGCAACCTGTGGACTGTAGCCCACCAGGCTTCTCTGTCGGATTTTCCAGGCAAGAATACTGGAGTGGGTTGCCATTTCCTTCTCCAGGGGATCTTGCCTATTCAGGGATTGGACCCATGTCTCCTGCATTGGCAGGCAGGTTTTTTACCACTGCGCCACCAGGGAAATCATCAGTTCCCATGAGTTTCAGAAATAATGTGTAAGCACTAACCTGACTGCTGACTTGGCTTTTGTCTAATTAAACCTTTAATTTTGAGATCACTGTAGTGTCACTCGCAGTTGTAAGTACATAAGACAGAGGGTCCTTTGTACCCGCTTTTCTTTTGCCCGGGGGTGACGCATTGCAAAACCATAGTGCAGAGTCACAGGTGGGGTACTGACAAGGATGCAGAGCATCTTCATCACCAGGGATTCTTTGAGTTGTCCTTTTATAGCCACTCCCCTCTCCCCAACTCCCAGCCCCTCTTGATAACCACTAATCTGTTCTCCTCTCCATAATTTTGTCCTCTCAAGAATGTTGTATATGCGACCTTTTGCGATTATTTCACCATGGTTACCTGGAAATTTACCTAGCTTATTGTGTGTATCAGTAGTTCATTCCTTTTTAGTGTTAAGCAGTATTCCATGGTTTGGATGTACCAGACTCTGATTAACCACTCACGTGTTAAAGGAGAGCTGAGTTGTTTCGGTTTGGAACTGTTACAAATAAAACTGCTGCAAAAATGTGCATGTTAGTGTTTTGGTTGTGCTTGATTTTGGTTGCTGCAGGTAGGTTTTCTCTGGCTGCTGCGATCAGGGGCTACTCTGTCACAGTGAGTGGGCTTCCCATTGCGGTGGCTTCTCTTGTTGCTGAGCGTGGGCTGTGGGCACCCAGGCTTCAGTAGTTACGGCTCAGGTTCCAGAGCACGGGGCTCACTCGTCGTGGTGCATGTGCTTCTGTGCTCCGTCTCATGTGGGATCTCCCTGACCAGGGATGTAACCTGTGTCCCCTGCATTGGCAGGCGGTTCTTATCCACTGCACCACCAGGGAAGTCCCATGTATAGTTTTTTGTGACATAAATTTTTAGTTCTCTGGGATAAATGCCTAGGAGTGGGTCATACAGTAGTTGAAGACTTAGTTTTTAAGAGTTGCTGCACCTTTTTGCATTTTTCTGCATCCTCACCAGCATTTGGGGTTTTCACTTTTGTTTTAGGCATTTTGGTAGGTGTCACGGTATCTCACTGTGGTTTGCTTTTGTATTTGCCTGATGGCTATCCTCTCCTGTTGAACATCCTCTCCTGTGTTCATCTACCATTGCAGAGCCTCTTTCGTGAAATGTCTGTTCCTGTTTTGCCCATTTTCTAATTGGATGGTTTGCATTTTTTGCTGTTGAGATTTGAGAGTTCTTTCTGTATTCTAGATCCCAGTCCTCGGTCGGATGTGTGGTTTGCAGATACTTCTCTCCGTCTGTAGCTTGTCTTTCCATCCTCTTCACAGGGTGTTTTGCAGAGCAAAAGTTTTAAGTTTTGATGAGAGACAGTTTATCAATTTTTCCGAAGATTTACATTTATGCTTTCTACAGAACTTTTCTAGTTTTATGTTTCACATTTTAATGCTGATCCATTGAGTTTGTTCTTGGATAAGACTGAGGTTTAGGGAAGTGCTCCTTTTGTGCTCGGGGCATCCAGGCCCTTGGGTCCACTTGCTAAGAAGGTGCTCCTTGGGCACCTTGTCAGCTCCCACTGGGATATGTTTGTTGGGTCTCTCTCTGGGGTCTCTGGGCTGACTGCTCCGTGTGTCTGCCCCTCTGTGGGAAGACGTTTGAACCTCTCTGTCTCCTAGCCTACAGCGCCAAGCAGGACTTTCTGTTTCTGACTGCTGTGCCCGACGTGGGGAGGTCGCCAGGAGAGACACACTTCCCTGAGGAGCTAAAGGTGAGCATGGCCAGGCCCTGGCGCTGACCTCCCCCCCCCCCACTCCATGGTCCGTTCTTCCCAGAGCGTCCCCGTCTCACCTGCCCTCCCCCTGCAGCCCCAAGTGGGTCTCCCATCATTGGACTCAGAACAGAACCAGGGCCGATGAGGTCCATTACCTGCTCACGGTGGCTAAATTTCTGGTACCCTGATGTGACTGCCAGGCACTGCCTTCCACGTGTCTCAGGCTGCATTTCAGAGAAGCAAAATTGTGTGCTCAGCACTGAGGAAGTGGAATGATGGCTCCTATCTTTGAAAAACCCATACTGCATGGCCTAAGGTATTTTCTTAAATTAATAAACCAGATACACCAGGGTACTGGATCATCTTAAACAGCCACGATCTGTGCAGACACACCAGGGTACCAGATTACCTTAGACAGCCACCATCTGTGTAGACGGCAGGTCCTTACTGCGGCTCACAGGCTTACACTCTGGTTATGTGGAGGTGGGGAGCGCGGGGGCAGAGCTGGCCTCCCTAAAATTCCTGAGTGACGAGGCCCCTGCCTTTGCCAGGGTATCAAGGTCCCGCGTGCAGTGGATCAGCACAGTGCCAGGCAGACAGACAGCCCACCTGGCCCCTCGGGCTGTCCAGGCTGAGGTTAAGGAGAGACGGTCAGTGGCCGCTGGCTGCTCGGTCGTCTGGCCCATCCACAGCCTGAACTCCGGGCCCCTGAAACTTGCACCTGCTGTCCAGCTGTTTCTGCCGGGCGGCCTCGGCCTCCGCAAGTTAATGCCCGGCACGGGGTCAGGGCAGGGCTCCTCCCGCAGGCACTCATGATGCCCCGGTGCCCGTTCCGCCTCTGTTCCCTGCAGCCGACGGGGAAGATGCTGGTTGAGCCCCTGGTCTACACGCAGCGCCTGGAGCTCATGAGGAACATGTGCAGAGAGGATGCTCTGAGGAACCTGTCCCACACCGCCGTCTCCAAGTTTGTCCTCGACCGGATTTTCGTCTGTGACAAGCACAAGATTCTCTTCTGCCAGACCCCCAAAGTGGGCAACACCCAGTGGAAGAAAGTGCTCATTGTGCTGAACGGTGTGTGCCTGTCCCGCCCGGACCTCAGGGTCTGCGGGGAGGGGGCCAGAGGGGCTGGGGACGGCAGCCGGGGAGACCTGGGAGGGCTGGCAACTCACAGACAGCTTGCTGGTGCTTTTCCTTTTTTTGGCCACGCTGTGCGGCACATGGGATCTTAATTCTCTAACCAGGCCTCGAACCCATGCCCCCTGCAGTGCAAGTGAGGAGTCTTAACCACCGGACCACCCGGGAATTCCCTGGTGTTTTTCCTGTTCCTGTCTCCCTTTAGGCATTGGCAGGGTTCACCCAGGCAGTCCGCACCCAGCACCAGGGCCTTCCCGCTCCCTCCATTTCTGCCTGCCGCACCTGCCTCCCAGATTGATTCCTTTTCTCCCTCGCGGTCACTGCATTGATTCTTACGAGTCTCTTGCTCTGTCTTAGGAGCTCAGGGCTCTGCACTCACTGAGTCACCTGGCGGCTGCCCTCGCAGCTGCTCTCCCGTGCGGAGAAGGACCCACGGCCAGGGCCCGGGGGGTGGGGGTGACCCCTGCCGGTGGGTCTGGGGTCTCCCCACCCACAGTCAACCCCCTCTTGTAACGAGCAGCCATGTTCAGAGGGTTTAATTGACTTGCTTCAGGAAATGTAGAGTTTACTCGGGAGCAGATTAGATCTCTGCAAAGTGCCCTCATGCTCAGCTTGTTTTGATTCCTCACCACTGTTTTCAGATGCTGTGTTTGTTTAAACTCTAGTTACTCTGAACCGACCCAAGATAATTATGGGCTCTATTAAATTCAGCTTCAAAATAAAAATAATCATAATGGACAGCAGTGTGACTCCCGAATCAAGAATCAGACCTCGGAAGCCTCATGGGATATGGGCCTGGGGTCTGCGTCCCCCTGCCCCCTGGGCCTACTGCTGCTCTCAGAGGTAGTGGTCGGAGCTGGTGTCATTTGACCTTTTCACTGGCTGATTGGGGAAGGAAAGGAGACACTTGCTTTATCTTCTGGTGGTCATCAACGTGCTTCTGGAATAATCTGACAGTATGTTGGCTTTTAACATTGGAGAATGAGGTTACAGATCAAATTTAAAACGACAGATGTGCGAAAGTCTTACACATTTGCTGCCACAGTGTGAAGCATTTGTCTTTGAAGGAGAAGAATCCGTTGATGAGAGCAGGACTCAAACGGGAGCAGTTTGCCAGTGCGTATGTGGGCTCCCCAGGTGGCACCAGTGGTAAAGAACCCGCCTGCCAGTGCAGGAGCATGAGAGATGGATTCCATCCCTGGGTCTGGAAGATCCCCTGGAGGAGGGCATGGCAACCCACTGCAGTGTTCTGGCCTGGAGAATCCCAGGGACAGAGGAGGCTGTTGGGCTGCAGTCTGTGGCGTCACACAGAGTCAGACAGGACTGAAGTGACTTGGCACAGTAGGCGACAGTCCTGAGACTGCCTTCTGTTGTCCCTGGATGCACCTGCAAGGTGACAAGTACCAGAGCAGGTCCAGGTGCAGATCCACAGAGCCGGCCCTTAAGTCAGCCCCTTGGGAGTAGATGGGACGTCTTGCTCGTTTACAACCGTCCATTCTCAGTGCTTAGCACAGGGTGCTGGATCAGGGCTTAAATATTCTGCAGAGACTGCAGCCCCTGGCTTTGAAGGCCCAGCAGAGACCCTTCCCTGCCAGACCCTGAGTCTAACGGGGAAGGATTAACACACGGGCGGATGTGAAGGGTGGCGAGGCCTTGACTAGCACCCCAGCACACTGACACTTTATTTCCATTTGCCTGAGTTGAGAAATGAGTGAACACCCACCCAACTCCAGCCCCAGGAGGAGCCCCCAGTGGCACAGGGGCTGCCTGCTCCACCCGGCGGCCTGGACCCGGCGCTGTGGCTCTTGGTCCTGCCCCGCCGCCTCCGATGCTCCTTGTGCTCCGAGCCCTGCTTCCTCTGTATCACTTCCCCCGGCGCGTCAGCCTGACTGATCCGTCGCCAGGCGTGGCGGGCACTTGCCAGCCTGGGATGCTGTGAGGCTACCTAGAAGCCTCTGAGGCCCTGGTGCTCCGGTGCTGGGAGTGATGGGGTGGGTCAGCTGGGTGCTCCATGGTCCTGCTTCTCTGATGTTTGCCCCCAGTTTCAGAGGAGAGGAAGTGTTTCAGGTTTCAGGCGTCCTGCTCGCAGGCAGTGATCTTTCTTACATGGCAGATTGAGCCTCACTCAGGTGCTCGTATCTGTAGGCCTCACTCCCTCTTCCTGACTCCTCCGTTTCCTCCCATTGGCTCCTGGGTCACCGAAAGCTTCTCTTCAGTCTCACGCTGCCACAGAAGCAGTTGAAATTCGGGAGTCGAGACCTAAACGTGGATACTGGGGGATGGTTTGTGGGGAGTGTGCACCTGCATTCTGAGATGGGCATCTCTCTTTAAGGGCAGCAGTGGCCAACTTAAGAGGCGACCAGACCAACACACCTTCTCCCCCTACCCCACCCCCCATTTGCTTCCCAGGAGCCTTCCCTTCCATCGAGGAGATCCCTGAAAACGTGGTGCACGACCATGAGAAGAACGGCCTCCCACGCCTCTCCTCCTTCAGTGACACCGAAATCCAGAGGCGGTAGGAGTGGGGCAGGGAGGAGGAGGAGGAGGGTGGGGAGGAGGAGGATGGGGGGTGGGGAGGAGGCGTGGGGAGGAGGATGGGGAGGGGTGGGGAAAGGGGAACGCTGATAAAACCCCAGGTTCCGCTCCTCTACTCGTTGTTGTTACCCAAATAGCTCCAAGAGCTGCTCGTTTGTGTTGGTGAGAGGCACCCAGGCACACAACCCAGCGTTTGGTGCATTTAAATTCACATCTTTCATGAGAATTTCCGAATTTTTCCACCTTAACCTTCACACGGGTCATCAAAATGAAAGTTACATGGCGGTCTTAGTAAAAATGACTGGTCGTTTTTGTTCTGCTTTACTTTGGTTTATGTTTTATGGGTTTTTTTCTGAGCGTGACCTTTGTTTCATAAGAAAGGGATTTGGCTTGCAGGTAGACCCCACTTCGTTTCCCATTTTCTCCCGAGGTGCTTCATGGCCTCCGGGGCAGCAGTCCCCTGATGAGTGGCCAGGTGGGCTAGACCCAGCAAAGGGAGAGGGAGATCGGCCTCGCTGACCACAGCCAGGATGGAGACTGGCATGGGGAAGATTCCTTAGCTGACTGGACACTTCTTTTGAGAGCTGTGAAATGGCCCCGTAAGACGAGGTTTAAAAGGAACAAGTGCATAGTATGCCGGCCAGTGTCAGGGCACCGAATGGTCTTTGAGCTCCTTGCTTCTCAGCTACTTCACTTCCACTGCTTCTGGCTCTGGCTATTCACCGTTTCCAGCTTGTACGGCTTCAAATGCCAAAGCAGAGACTGTCCTGGGGGCAGGTGGTCCTGTCACCCCCCTCAGCAGTGACCTTGTGGGGCTTTTGTGAGAGCAGCTGAACTGAGGCCTGTAGCACTGAGGGTCCCTGGCCTGGGGGAGTGCATGGGATCACAGCAGTGTCATTGTCATCACAGGCTCTTCACACAGGCACCCCGGGCCACCACCGCCCCTCTGGCAGCTCCCCCAGACCCTCTTACTGCCAGCTGGAGCCTGGTGACCTCCCATTTTCTCTTCTCTCCCCCCACCCCCCATTTTTCCTTCCCCTGGCAATTTTGAATTGAGTTTGTAAAGGTGAACCTTTAGAGTCACTCACTTCCCCTGGCTTCAGCTATTCTTCACTTGATTAAGCAGGTTTCTACTCTTTTGGTTTTCTGCCCCAAAACAAAACTTTTAAAAACATTCCTGAAGTTAATATGGGGTAATGGGTTAACAAGAGGCTCTGCCTCCAAGGGTGGCTGCATGAATTAAGTAAGAACTGTGTGCAGTGCCCTTGGCACAAGGCCCAGCCTGGTGGCTGCTGTTGCTCCAGCCATCACGCTTCACTCTTCCCTGCCTCACAACCCGCAGCCAGCACCACCAGCAGCATTGGGTTAACCTCTTCTTTATCTTCCATCTTCTTCCTTAGCTTGAAAACATACTTCAAGTTTTTTATCGTAAGAGATCCTTTCGAGAGACTGATCTCTGCGTTTAAGGATAAGTTTGTCCACAACCCCCGCTTTGAGCCTTGGTACAAGCATGAGATCGCTCCTGGCATCATCAGAAAGTACAGGAGGAACCGGACGGAGACCCGGGGCATCCAGTTTGAGGATTTCGTGCGCTACCTGGGTGACCCCAACCACAGGTGGCTGGATCTGCAGTTTGGGGACCACATCATCCACTGGGTGACGTACGTGGAGCTGTGCGCACCCTGTGAGATCACGTACAGCGTTGTCGGGCACCACGAGACCCTGGAGGACGACGCCCCGTACATCCTCAGAGAGGCCGGCATCGACCACCTGGTGTCCTACCCCACCATCCCCCTCGGCATCACTGCGTACAACAGAACCAAGGTCGAGCGCTACTTCCTGGGCATCAGCAAACGAGACATCCGGCGCCTGTATGCGCGGTTTGAGGGGGACTTTAAGCTCTTTGGGTACCAGAAACCAGAGTTTTTGCTAAACTAACGTGTAGGACCATGAGTTCAGATATCTTTGTTAGACCAGAGGCTAACCAGATGGAGCTCAGGCACAGAAATGACACTTCTTCCGTCTCACTCCTCTTGAAGACTGCCACTCCCTGAGGACCGGGGTGCACCTTGCCCGATGAAGCTGGACCCTGACTGTTACAACATAGTCTGCACATAAGGTGCGTGGAGGGTCCTGGCCCCCACCCTCCAGTGCCACTGAGCCTCTGCTCTCCCCGGGGTGGTGGGGATAGCATTAAACATTTGCAGTCAGACAGAGCCAGAGGGAAAATCAGACAGCCTTGATCGTCTCCCTCAGTTATCAGACACCTGCAGGGCAGGGCAGTCCTGTCTGTCGCCAGGGGACAGCAGGCATGGCACCCAGCACTTTGAAGAGAGGCAGACAACGGTACCCTGCAGACATCCCGGGGGCCGAGACGGGATCAGATCTGAGTAATAAAGGCACTCTTCTGGCTCTCATCTTGGCCGCCGCTGTCATCGGAGAGGCAAACCCTTCTCTCCATGGCTGTCTAGTTCCCGAGAAGTTCAGGAATGACCCGAGGGCACTCCTCCCCATTCACCTTTTCAGAATACATGCTGTGTGCTGCTCGGCCGGATTTCCACACCTTTACCTGCCAAGTGATTATCTCATTCAGTCCACGAGACCCAGTGTTGGGAAGTGAGGGGAGTGTCCATTCTTCCCACCTGAGGAAGGGAGCATCTTTGGGGGCCTTAACAGTAGCGTGGCCTGGGAAGGGGCAGGGCTGGCCGGGTGCCAGAATCCAGGCTGCCCAGTGACTTTCTGCTTATTGTCTCTGATGGACTCGCATGGGTGGGCACAGAGGTCTTCACCCGTCTCCTCCAGGACCAGTCCCTCCTGGGGGCTGAAGGCAGGCACAGGCAGCATACCAGCATCGCCAGATCAGTGCAGTGTACACATTTTAGTCTCCTTTCATCTCAGCAAGACGTGTCCCACTGGGCCCATTTCTGATGATGCCATCATCCTGACCCAAGTTGGATAATCAGGTTCACCAGCAATAAAACCTTGGGCCGAGGCAGCCCCTGTTAACACATCTTCCAGGCACTGAGGAGCAGCGGGCCACACTCACCACTTCATGTGCCGGCCGACAGTGAGGCCCCTCGAGGCCTGGGACAGTCTCCCTGCAGAAAGTCCCCAGTGTCCAACCAGGCCGCACAGGGCTCGGGAGCCCAGCTCCTCCAGGCAGTCCCCGCCGTCCCTTTCTCAGTGTGACTTCCTGAGTTTGTAAATGTGAAAGTAACACGAAATAAAAAACATGTGCCAACCTGACGTGGGCTGTGGTTCCCAGGGAGGTGCCGCGTGGACTGCGTCCCGAGTGCTGGCGACAGTGCGGGGCATGTGCCTGCCCACAGCGCTGACAAAGGGGCAGCCCACAAGATGGCCTGTCACCTGCAGCACCATTTTTCTGTCAAGTTTTAGCAAAGTCTTGTTGCAGTCATCTCACGCCTGATGCACAGAATGATTGTTTAGTTGCTAAGGCATGTCTGACTCTTTTGCAACCCCATGTACCAGCCTGCCAGGTTCCTCTGTCCATGGGATTTCTCAGGCAAGAATACTGGAGTGGGTTGCCATTTCCTTCTCCAAGGGATCTTCCCAATCCAGGGCAGATTCTTTACTACTGAACCACCAGGGAATCAGACATAACCTGGGAACAACCTCTCAAAAAACTCTCAGAACTGTTCCCATGTTAGAAGTCAAAGCACAGTTATGTAAGTTTTTGAGACAGTGGGCTGCACATTAAATGATGTATTGTTGACAGTTTACACAATCCAGATCTTCAGGTACAAAGTGTTGGATCATCGTGACCCCTGGCAAGATGAAGAAGGAATGTTATCTTTTTAAGGATAACATTCTTGATGAAGCTGGGAGAAAGTTGCTCCTCATGGCTGAGCAGGTATTTTTGCAAATGGGGAGGTGTGGTCAATTCCCAGTGCAGATACACAGTGCACAGTGGAGGGGAGAGATGATGGCAGAGGAGATATTTTATGTTTAAATTTTTCTTGTCTTGCCATAAAATACGTTTTTCACAGGACATTTTCCAAGCCCCTTGGACATGCCAAGCCCTGCCCCAGGGTTTTGGGATTCCAGAGCTAAGCAGAACCCTCACCTCACAGGGGAGGAGAGGCTGGGAAGGGGTAGCTGGTACACAGGAGGAATAACATGTTTGTTTCCTTGCCTTTAAGCCAGTCTCCCTGTCTGGTTAATAGCAGTTATCTTGAAACTGTCTAAACCAAGACTTGGACAGCAACATCATACTCATAATCTGTGCTATCCTCAAGGCCGAGTTGGTTTACCTGGTAAGTCACAATGGGCATTTGCACAGAGCCGCCTTCAGTCTTATACCCTATCACGGAATCTATAAACTCTCAATTTTTATGATACAGCAAGAAAATTCTGGACTTCGCATTTGTGCTTGCCACTGTCAACTAACCAGTCCTCCCTCTCCACCTCTCTCTACTTGGGGAATATAGAGAGGAATAGTGAGTACACATTCCCATTTAGCCCCTTTCCCTCCACTTTCCCCAACAGTTTCTCTCTTCTCTGTGTCACTCATGTTATCACAGGTGACTTCACAGAATACCGCACTGCAGCATTGCATGAGTCTCAATCTTTCCAGCCTACCATACCTATATTTTTAGCCACCCAGCTCCTAAACACTGAATATGAAATATGAAAACCACATAGTTTAGGTTTCTGTAACTGCAGCCCCATATTAGTTCAGCCTAAAAGTGAAAGGGTTTCCCAGGTAACTCGGTGGTAAAGAATCCACTTGCCAATGCAGGAGACTCAGGAGACATGGGTTCGATCCTTGGGTCCAGAAGATACCCAGGTCGAGAAGATCCCCTGGAGGAGGGCATGGCAACCCACTCCAGTATTCTAGCCTGGAGAGTCTCATGGACAGAGGAGCCTGGTGGGTTACAGTCTATAGGGTTGCAAAGAGTCGGACAGAACTGAAGTGACTTAGCACAAAACAACTGCAGCCCCGATAGCAGGATGACTGTTTCTTTATTAACTAGGGTAACATCAACTGTCCTAACAAACAAAAACCAAAGTTCAGCATCTAATGACAATAAAGTGATTATTTCTTGCACACAATAACCCAATGGTCTGTTCCTCGTGAGCAGGGAGTTTTCTTTCTTGTGATTCCATTATGCCCAAAGGTCACATGGTCCTCGGCTTCCAGGAGAAGAGTTGGAGGAAGGAGGACCACTGGGGGCATCATCATGAACCAGTCATGGAACTGGGACATGTGTCTTTCACAGCATCCGAGCAATTTTACTGGAACTGGGAAATGCAATTCCTAGTTTGATAGACATATGCTGGTGATAACTCCACAAATTTGCAGTGAATGTTTATAAATTGATAATCCTTATGGAAGTATAGTGCTTTACTACCTAATTTAAATAATGACATGAAATAGGCCTAAGGGGCTTATAATACACCATATCATAAAGGGAGAAATGATTTCACAGAAATTAACTTGCCCTAAAGTTATACAGCTAGACTTCTGGTTTCAGGTCCAATGTGTGAAAAGCCTGGAAGTTGTCATTCCTATTGTTAACAAAAATGCTGAAAAAACTGAAAACTGACACCTTACACTCATCAGAGAATTGAGAAATGGGTGAACACAGAATCTCAGCAGAGGTCAGCTTACCTGTAGCAGAGCCACCAGAGCCATGAACCAGTGAAAGTGAAGTCGCTCAACTGTGTCTGACTCTCTGTGACCCTGTGGACTAGCCCGCCAGGCTCCTCCGTCCATGGGATTTTCCAGGCAGGAATACTGGAGTGGGTTGCCATTTTCTTCAGGGGATCTTCCCGATCCAAGGATTGAACTCAGGTCTCCCGCATTGTGGGCAGACTCTTTACCTTCTGAGACACAAGGGAATCCTTTAAGTTCTAGAGGGTGTTCTGGGCATATTTCAAAAATGCCCTAAATGAACCAGTAGGATCACTTATACAGTAATTTTGACAAATTGCTGGACGTTGACTGTGAGCTACCAGACATTGTTACCATGAAGAGTCAAGAAAAATCTCCTGGCTCTCCAGGTAGATGCAAAAGCTAACCATTTTGAAATATGCCCAGAATATCCTCCATAACATGGGCTACTCTATACAGAGAAAGATTTTACCAGAGCCATGGGAGACAGGCATTTACCCCCTCAAGCCTTTCTGTCTCACCTCAAGGGTGAAAAAACAGGTCACAGCCCAGAGACACAGGCCCACTGAGAAACAGATTTAATCACAGGATTATGGAATGCTGCCCCCCCCCCCCACAGACACATACTTATGGCTGATTCACATTGCTGTTTGACAGAAACCAACACAGTGTTGTAAAGCAATTATCCTGCAATTAAAAATAAAATTTTTAAAAAGGAAAAAAATGTGAATGGTCAAAATACACTTATTAAAAGACAGAGTGGATTAAAAAAAAACAGAGGCCCAGGTACATGTTGTGTGCAGTAAACCTACTCTAAGTACAAAGATCATACAACTAGTGAGGATCTAGTGACCCCTCATTCTTCACTTTCAATCTGAGTGTCCTCTTCCCACACACAGCACATGCCCTCGGTGAATTACTTACAGAGCCAAGTTCAGGTGCTAGGAAAAACAGAGCCTCCACACACCGCCAACATTTATGTCAAAGGGGAGAAGCTCCCTTCTGCAGGTCCTTGAGGGCTTGCTGTGACGTTTAACAGAATATTGGACTAAATAAAACTAACTCCTCCCCATGCAAGGAAGCCTCAGGTCAGTGATCTATTATAGGAAAGAATGTTTTAAATGGGTCTGTATCCTCATGTCCTACTCTCTTTCACCTCCTACTACCACGCCTCTACTCCCCCACCCCACCCCCCGACTCCCAGCCCCAAGATCGTGTGACCCTCATGAGCAGGAAGTGTTTGCATTTATCCACAGATCCTGAGCCTGAACAGATAGTGAATGTTGCCCGACCTGGCCGGGTT